GACCTGAACGACAGCCGTCACTTGCTGTTTGAACACTTCGAAAGAATGGTCAGCATGGACGAAGTTTTACGTCAACTATCAGTAATAGGCGTATTTGATTGGCTAGAGAAAGCGCGCATCTAAATATCAACGAATCAAAGGTAGGTTAGGAAAGAAACTGCTTATGTAAGTATTCTAACGTGAATAGTTCTGTTTAATCACGGAACTACCGCTTTCCTCCGTCACATCCAACTTAATGCATTAGAAAGAAATCGAAAAACTGTGACGCACTGAAAAGTACCTCTGGGATGTTCTTATATAAGAGGTCTGGCTATTAAATAACGAGATTGCGCGCGCAGAAGGCGTCCTAGAGGGGAAGAGTGGGAAACGAATGCAGAATTGGATAACTGGAAGTGTCTACTCTTCAAGTACGAAAACACGTTTTTGTCGCTGTAGTAGTATTTTTTCTGTAGAGGTTAGAAAAGAACGTGTTTTTTTCGCGTGTCGATAACAATGTGTGACGAAAAACATGAGCAACGGATTAATGTGAAATTTCTCGTTAAATTAAAAAAACTCCGACTGAGTGCTATAATTTGTTTAAAGAGGTCTATAGTGAGAATTTCTATTCTTTGCGCGTGTTTTCGAATGGTATAAACGGTTTTCTGAAGGCCGAGAGGTCTAGGTCGGACTGTCTCTGTTTCAACTCCGCAAACCGTGACCAAAATAAATGAAAATGTGTGCGGAGATCGTCGTATGAGCATTCGGATGATTGCTGAGACTGTAAAGGCCGATAAAAAAACTGTCAGAAAAATTTTACATGACGAATTGAACATGAAGAAAGTCTGTGCGAAGTTGACCCCAAAAAATTTGACTCCTGACCAAAAGCTCGTCCGTCAAGAGATCTGCTCAGATTTTCTTGAGAGGTTACATGAAGAGCCTGAATTAATGGAAAACATCATCACTTGCGATGAAACCTGGATATTCAAGTACGATGTTGAAACTGAGCGACAGTCCATGCACTGGAAAACTCCTGCATCGCCAACAATGAAAAAAGCAAGGATGTCGAAATCAAAATTTAAAGCTATGCTAATCTTTTTTTTTTCGACATTAACGGCATCGTGATGACTGAATGGGTTCCAGAGGGTCAAACTGTAAGCCAAACTTACTACTACTACTACTAAGGATTTCCACAGTTTTCACTGTCTTCCTTCACTCGACCGTTTTCTCCCTGTCATTCCAGTCTCCATCTCGCAGGGTTCTTTTCTCCATAGCCTCGTCGATTTCGTCTCTGAATGACCTTCGGGGTCTTCCTTCTTTCTTCTTCCGATCGGGCTCCATTCTGTGATTTTGTTTATCCAGCGTCCTCTGTCCGCTCTTCTGACGTGGCCGTACCAGGATAGTCTCTTCTCCTATATATAGTCGATTATGTCTGATTGCACTCCCATTCTCCGCTTAATCTCTGCGTTTTCAATTCTGTCTCTTTTTGTAAGTCTACAGCTTCTCCTCAGGAACTCCATTTCTACTGCTCTTATTCTACCTCTATTTCTCTTGTTTATTGTCCAGTTTTCGGACCCATATGTCAGGATACTTCTTGTCAGGGTATTATATATTCTCTTTTTTGTCTTTATCGTAATGTTCTTATCCCACAGCACTGAATTTAGTTGTCTTATACAGTTTCTTGTTTGTCTTAGTCTGTTGTTTATATCTTCTTCTGTTGTTCCCTGGTTCGATATTATGGTTCCTAAATACTTGAATTTATCTGTTCCATTTACTTGTCTTCCCTCGTCTATCTCTAGGTTTCTCATATCCTTGTTTTCTGTTGTTAGGTATTCGGTTTTCTCTAAGTTTATTTCCATTCCGTTGTTTTTATATTCTTCTTCTAGTTTTCTGAGCATAAAGCTGAGATCTTCTTCATCTTGTGCGATGACTACTTGATCGTCGGCAAAACTTAAGGTGTATAGGTATTCGTCTCTTACTGGTATGCCCATTCCTTCGCACTTTCTCCTCCATGGTTTGAGTGTCTTTTCCAAGAATATTTTAAACAGAGTAGGGGACGTAGCACAGCCTTGTAGAAGTCCTTTTGTCGTCTTAAATGGATTGTAGGCTTTATTTCCACATTTAATAGCTACTTTGTTTTCTTTGTACAGTGCTTTAACTGCTTTTATTAGTGTTTGTCGGATTCCGAGATCATTCATTGCTTCCCATAATTTGACTCTAGGTATTGAGTCGTATGCTTTCTTTAGATCAACAAACGCCAGATGGACCGGTCTACCTTTTGCCATTTTCTTCTCTATCAGTTGTTCTAATGTGTACGTAAAATCTAGGCATGATTTTCCTACTGTGAACCCTGCTTGGTCTTCTCCAATTTGTCCTATTATTTCAGTTTCTAGTTTTACCTTGATAATTTTCCCGTAAAGTCTACCTACCGACGATATTATACTAATTCCTCTGTAGTTTTCACATCTTTTTCCTGTTTCCTTTCTTATGTATGGATGTGATGTATGCTTGTGTCCATTCCGCAGGTATTTCCTCTCCATTTAGTCCTCTTTCGAACATTCTGTGTAGCATGGGGAATAACTTTTCCGTTCCGTTTTTAATTAGTTCGTTTGGTATCCGTCCGGGTCCTTTGGCTTTTTTGTTCTTCAATGTCTTGATTGCTCTCTTGACTTCTGTCAGACTTATTTCTATCTGGTCGTATGTCCCATTTCCTGCATGTTCTGTATTAACCAAACTTACTATTTGAAAGTTTTGAAAGAACGCTGCGCCCGGAGTTGTGGAAAAACAAGCGGTGGATCTTGCACCAGAACAACGCACCTGCCTGTAAAGCGTTATTTAGCCGCTAGATGCATTCCAGTGCTCGAACGCCCGCCGTATTCGCCTGATTTAGTATCCTGTGACTTTTTCCTGTTTCCTAAGATTAAATCTGCCTTAAAAGGAATCCGGTTTGAGTCGATGGAAGAGGTGAAGAGAAATGGCGGAGCTCCTAAAAGCTCTAACAAAAGAAGACTTCCAGCATTGCTTTGACCAATGGAAAAAACGAATGGGACGGTGTGTGGCGAGGGAAGGGAATATATTGAAGGAGAGCATTCGATTGTAGAATAATTTTTAAAATAAAACTCTTTTTCATAAGCAATATATTTTTAGCAATATATTTTATTTAGCAATATAAACCTTTTTTTCCTTCTAAAAGAAGCGCCTTGCTAGGTTTTTTCCAACGCTGGCGCTGGTTTCAAAATTTAATTTAAACCAATAGTTACCGAGATATTATATTGTTTATAAGCCAAAAAATTGTTTACAATGTTAAAAAATCCTGTCTGAATCCGAGTACAGTTTTTCTGCCCAATATCGGGCTACGTCTACAGCATGATATAAGGAAACATGGTATGCTCACGCGCATCTATTTTGAACAGCCAATCGCGTTTACGACCAAAATCCGCCATTTTGAAGGCGGCAATTCAAATATGTACAAATTTGATAAAAAATATCGTAGTTAAATAAAATAAAATAAAATTAATATTCTACATTAATCCAATTAATTCAGATTTAAAATGATCTGAACAGACTCTTGCTAAAATAATTTTAAAAAAATCGAAACAAATTTACTTTTAAATTCCAATACATTGCAAAGTAAGGTTAAAAAATGCAAAACAAAGCAGACGTCAAGCATGTAGAGGTGGTTGATCCAAGTATTTTTGTGGATCAGGTCAAACTGATACGCGTAAACAAATATACCTGTTAAAAAATACTGGTTTGGAAATCAGTTTGTTATCATTCGTTTAATAGATATCTAAACATAACGACAACATTATTTGTATTTTGTTAGATTTCTTTATAGTTATTTAAATGACTGTTTAACTTCAAATACTTAAATTACTGTTATTCAGAGATTGTATAAAAAGTTCATAAAAAAAATGGCGATAGTTTTGTCTACTTCACGCCAATTGTCATCTGTTGATATTTATCTAAAGCTTTGTAAACGTTGAGAAATGCACGATAAAAATTAAGGACAAATGCAATGAAACCCGTACTCGTTTATTATAATATATTGGTGTTAGGGATCAGTTCCACAAGTATAAATAAAATACATGTTCCAAAGTAACTGGTACGGGATCAGGTCACCATCCCTACACGCATGTGACATATTGAAAAGATGGTGGATTTTGGTCGGCGCAGAAATGTGCAAAAACGAGTCCACCTAGTGAGCATACCTTGTTTCCTTATATCATGGTCTTACAGCCTTTGTATTTGCGAGCCATAAATCATCGAGGGTGCCCTGTGGTGGGCAAAGTCTGCATACTCTTAGGTGCTCGCTATCTGTCTTGATGTCCCATTTAATGAGGCAACACCTGTGCGCATGCGGTTGAGTGTCCGCCAGGTTCTCCAGTCCAGGTTCATTCCATTAGGTCGTTCTGGATGTAGGGGAACACTTCGGGTGGTTCGACGGTGACATTTCTCATAAACCTTTTTCCTTGATTTAAGTCGGCTGATTCCTGGTGGTTCGTCAAACCCGTATAATTGGTGCCGTTCATCAAAAGTTTGCCTGAACTTCTCCACATATTATGAGGCACATCTACGGTCGTCTAGTGATGCGAATCCAGCTACCCGGTACAGTAGGTGTAGAGGGGTAGGCTTCATACAACCGGTAATGATTCTACATGTTGGGTGAAGTGCTCTTTTATATGTAAAAACATTTCAGGCAAATTGCTATATGGTTCAATTGTTGTCGTGCAAGATTTTAAAGAATTTCAATTAAAAAAAAAAACTAGATTGCACATTTTGCGAAATCTGTTGATTGTAATGAAATTTGGTGAACTATTTTATTATATTACAAAAATTTTCTAGGCTAATTATGAAGGTGTTAACTGCAATCTAAGTGGTTGAGCAACATTTGATAAGAAAAGAATGTCAGCTCTCACCCCCAACTGTAGTCGTTTTTTCAAAGAACCCCTTGACCTATAAAGAATTTATTTTAGAAATAATTTATATTTTTTCTTTCATTTATATATATTTTTTCTTTTTAGCATCATCGGAAAAAATTACAGGGAAGAAGACTCGACTTTGACTGCAAAAGAAGACGACAAGCAAAAGGTAAATTATTAAGTTTTCTTTTTCAATCTGTATCTTCTTTATACAGTTTTTAAGCATTTTTCGATAACTATGCTACTGTTTGTTGGGACTTATGATATTTTATATTATTTTTTTAGACAATTTTAAAAAATGATGTAGAAGTAAATAAAAATAGTCATTGTACTGACAGAGACCTTCGCTATATGCCAAGCTCCTGGTTTATTGATTTCTGTGATAGTAAATAGACTCGAGATGTAGGCAACTAATACATAATATATATTAAAATGCAACTATGATAGTACAACTAGACGAAAATACAAATCCCATCCCCATTAAGAGAGGAGTAAGACAAGGAGACGTAATATCGCCAAAGCTTTTCAACTTAACCCTAGAAGACGTCTTTAAAACTACAAATTGGTCAACCTATGGCATTAACGTTAATGGCAACAAGTTAAATCACCTCAGATTGCGCTGACGACATAGTGATTATAGCGAGCACATTCGAGGAACTGCAAATTATGTTGGGGGAACTAGCAGCCAGCTCCCAATACGTCGGTCTAAAAATGAATATGAAAAAAACAAAAATAATGACAAACACAGAAGACCCCAGACATATAACTATAAACGGCAGTGAGATAGAACAAATCCAGGAATATATCTACCTAGGCCAAATCCTGAGACTTGACAAAGAGAACCAAAGTGCGGAAATTACTAGAAGAGCAAGACTAGCATGGGCAGGATTTGTAAAACTTAGTTGGATACTTAAGAACCGCAAAATACCCCAATACTTGAGGAGCAAAGTGTTCAACCAATGCATCCTTCCTATCATGACATATGGATGTCAAACCTGGACCCTAACCAAGGCAAACATGAATAAACTAGCCACAACAGAAAGAACAATGGAAAGAGCAATGTTAGGTATACGACTGTCAGATAAAAAGGGGAACGACTGGGTAAGGTCCAAAACAAAAGTCGAGGACATAACAATAAAAAATTGCAAAACTTAAATGTAGCTTCGCGGGCCACACTGCTAGACAGAAAACTGGATATTGGAATACTACAATACAACATTAGAGACCTTACGACAGTAAACGACCAAGAGCAAACACCACAGATGAGATGGGTTGATGACATTAGAAGAATAGCCGAACAAATTGGAAATATGTTGCTCAGGATAGAGACCGATGGAAGGAGTTGGGAGAGGCCTATGTCCAAACATGGACGACAGAAGGCTAAGAAGAAGAAGAAGAAGTGATAGTTCCTCAGTATATTAGAGCAACTCACTCCTCCCAGAACGTTTAGTATACTTACAGTATTCTCCAGGAAATCCACACCATCTATAACCAACAATAATCTGCTAACATAAAAGTCACAATGATCTGGACTCCGTCTCATGTTGATAACGAAAAAGCAGACCAGGCCGCTAAAGCAGCATGTTCTTCTGAGTTAGCCTTCAAAGAGGTCCAAATCCATACGGATCTTAAGATATTAATAAAACAAAAAATCCTCAGCTTATGGGCGGACCTGTGGAATAAAACAAAAACTAAGCTGCATGACGTTCAACCCAACTTATCTCGCGTCAATATCTCCTCTATGAACAGGAAAGAAAAATCAGTTATTCATCGACTACGAATAGGGCATACACGTCTTACACACAGATACCTTATGGCAGGGGTGCTCAAACGGTCGATCGCGATCGACTGGTCGATCGCGAGTGCTTTTTGGGTAGATCTCGAGAAGAAAAAAAATTTTAATAAGTAGGTAGGTAACTAAACTACTGTCAGCAGAGTTAAACGTTTTTATTAATACTGAACTATACAAATACATAGAATGCTTGACTAAGCATCATTGCAATTCAAAGAAGTGGGGACAACAAAATACTGTCCACACAGCATATTTTATATTTACATATATTAACTAATTATTTTATTAATTCAATATTTATTATAATTATTAATCAAATTTGGGATGATATTCTATCAACTACAAAAATGTATTACGTAATAAAATAACACTGCTTGCGGCAAAAGGTGGCTTTATCAAAGGAACGCGCGGCACTTGTCAAAGAAAAGCCGTGTTGTTTCTAGACGAGAGACAGTACAGTCTAGTTTCGGGCGGCGCGTTTGACGGAAACATTCGAGACTTTCGTTCACGCCGATATAAATGTTGCGCCTGCAGGAATTGGAGTTATTCTGAATTGTAACTTGATAGCGATCCTACGTCGATACAAAGTTTATTATTAAATAGTGGAAAATGAGTGCAGTGAAGAAATCTAAAACGTATCATTTTAATAAGGATTGGGAGGAAGAATTTTTCTTTTCTATGGTGAAGGATAAGTGCATTTGTGTTATTTGTCGTGCGTCAGTTGCAATACCTAAGCGTGGTAACTTAGAGAGGCATCATAAAACGGTTCATAAAAACTATGAAAAGGATTTTCCGCCACAGAGTGAATTAAGAAAACGAAAAGTAAGTGATTTGATATCTTGTTTGAAAAAAGAACAATCCATGTTCACAAGACCAGCCAAACAATCAAAAGCTGCTACGATCGCGTCATTTAAAATATCTCATATTTTGGCGAAACACAAGAAACCATTTGAAGATGGATCGGTGGTGAAGGAAGCATTTATTGAAGCGGGTGAGACTTTATTTGGAGATTTTAAAAATAAAACAGAAATCATGTCTGCTATTAGAGAACTTCAGTTATCTCGTCCGACTGTCACAAGGCGTATTGAAGTCATGAGTCAAGACATCGCAGATAAACTAAAACATGATATCATGGAATGTACATACTTTTCTTTACAGTTCGACGAATCCATCGATATGACAGACACTGCCCAGCTGTGTATTTTTATTCGAGATGGTATTCAATGACATGTTGGCTAAGGAAGAATTTTTGACAATCATTCCTCTGAAGGGGAAGACCCGTGGCGAAGATATATATGACGTTTTCTTAAATTTTGTAAAAAACTACGAGCTACCAATATATAAATTAATGTGCATTACAACCGATGGAGCACCAGCAATGACTGGAAACAAAAACGGTTTTGTGGCATTGTGTCGAGCTAATGAAGAATTCCCTTCATTTTTTTTCATTCCATTGCATTATACATCAACAAGTTTTGTGTTCAAAAGTTTTAAACACGGAGGAAATTATGAGCATTGCAACAAAAATTGTGAATTCCATCCGTGCACGTAGCTTGCAACGGCGGCTCTTTCAGTTGCAGTTTCCAATTGCAAATTCCTAGAAAGGTTTCAAGAATTATTGCCCGAAATAACAGCTTTTCTAGACGAAAGAGGTGATGACACTCAGATTTTGAAAAACGAAAAATGGCTAAATGATTTGGCATTTTTGACTGACATCACAATGCACTTAAGCACCGTTAACTTGGAGCTTCAAGGTAAAGGAAAAACTACTATTGAGATGATTAGCGCAGTAAACGCATTCAAAAGTAAATTGCAACTTATGATAGATCAACTGAAAAGAAAGGATCTGAAACATTTTCCGTCTTTGAAAGCAAGGATCCTCAGTTGAATTATGATACGTATGAGGCTGAATTATCAAATATTTTGGGACAATTCGAAATGCGTTTTTATGATTGCAGTAAATTGGAAAATATAGCATCATTTATGAGTTATCATTTTCATGTAAAAACATTGAGGAATTAGCTACTGAAATAGCAAGTCAGTTTAATATGAACTCATCTTCTGTTGAAAATGAGTTGGTGCAGATTATATCAGATATACATCTCAAAGCTACAGTATCTGATACAAATTTCTGGCGTTTTATATCTGAAGATAAATATCCGAATGTAAGGCAAATCGCCCTTCAACTGACGGCATTTTTTATGCCGTTTCATATACTTATGAAAAGTATGCTGAGGACATGCAGTGCCACGCTTCAACATCCAAAGCCACTCCTTAGTTAAGTTTAACACCATATGTAATTCTTTTGTTTTGTAACAACAAATAAACTCGCAATTTTGAATAACTATGATTCTTTCATGATTGTAGAGAAGAACCTAACTAAACCTAACCCAAACCTTGACTAAAATAATGTAGCTATATTGTGCAGAAAGCTAATATCTATATATGCTACGGTACGCCCTACGTAGGTAGGTAGGGTGTATCGTGTATGTACGACAACCCTGCATCACAAACACTTGCAGTCTCTCAGAGTCGATCGTAAGTAGTCTAAAAATATTGAGGTAGATCGCCAGCAGTTCAAGTTTGAGCACCTCTGCCTTATGGCATCAGAAAACCCTCCAGTATGCCACTACTGTAATACCCCTATTTCCATCAAACACGTGATAGTGGACTGAAAGATCCGAACAGCACAGCCTAAAAGGAAATCTAAAAGATATTCTTAGTGTTCCAAACCGTTTTCACAGTGTTCTTAAATTTTTAAAAGAAACAAGTTTAATTCAGCTAATATAAACAGTGCATAGTGATAAGCTGTATTGTTTTAACTTTTCCACACAAAAAAATTGTTCATATCAAATGCTTGTATATAAAGTATGTATAATGTTGTAAACTGTCAATGACCATAAGCTGTCAAGACACGTTAATTGTGTCCAGTAGTTATAACTCACTTTGTTATATAATTATATTAACATTTTTTTGAAGCTCGTTCCAACTAAATTTTGATAAATAATTTCCTCCATTTATATTATGTGATGTTTTTCATATGATTGATTCGTATAATTCAATTTAAATGCAATTTATGATTCAAACGCATAATTATCGAATAATGTCTAAACACATAACGTACGACATACATACACATTATTGATACCCTTTTTGCACATAATACGTTTAAATCGTGCGATATAAAATCAAAATTGGTAAATAAATACTGAATTTCTGCGAATAAATTTGAACATGTAGAAAAAATAAAATGTTTGTAGTATTATCATGCAAAAAAAATAATTCTACTTTTCAACTAATTAATGTATTGCAAAATAAAGAATAATGAATTTACTAAGCAATTTTTGTTTTCGTTTGAAATTTTTCTATTAAAAGCT